TCCTATATGTAAGTTAATGTTTCTCGATATATGAAAACAATATACTTATTATACTAATATACTTATTATATATACTTATAATTTCGGACACATTAGGTATCTCGATCTGAGATCGGTGTACAATCTAACTGTCTCTTGTAGACTAGTTTATTAAAAAATTCTTTATGAAAATAAATTAAAAATTTAGCACACTAACATCCTGCGACGGCTCTCGATGCCATTCTATTATATTTCTTGAAATTATAGGGCTTTTACATTATATGTGTTTAAATTTATATAGTTTTAACAGTAAAGCGTGGTATTTTTACAGGCTTTTGTTCAGAAACTTCTAACTTTATAAAAATATTGTATAATGCAATATGGTAAATGTCTCAGTAATTTAACAGGCAATTGTTTTTTTTTTAATTTTTCTTTAATATTGTTCGATGGTTTAATATTTATAAATAATTATAATATCTCTTTTGTCAATATGTAGTCAAATATGTAGTTATGTCCGACTATTGGAGTATTTATCTTATTGTTAATACATATAAAGCGTGATTAAACATTAGGAGAATTTTTAAAATAAAATTTGAATTTAAAAAAAGTTAATCAATATTATATGTAGAATACCGCTTTACAGAGAATACATTTTTAAAGTAAAAAAACTGTGTCGTTGATAATTAGATTTCGAAAAGTTTTTTCAAAACTTTATAAGTAATAAGACAAATTTAATTAGATTTTTTATTTCAATATTTGTTCGTTGGTGGCTCGCCGTGCGGTAGAATGGCCGGTTGGAGCCAGCGCAACTGTAGTTTTTGGATGTACCAGATCGGATGGCGCGAAAGAGGAGCAACTTTTCGTTTGTTTCACAGCACTTTATTTGTTATCGTTCGATACAATTCTCAACCCCTGAACACGGCGGTGCGAATTGTTATAACCATAAATTTTACCCGGGGTGCCGAGCCGAGCCGGGCACAAAAAATACGCGTTTCGCAGAACGCGGAGCGCACGCGACCTTTTTCGTGAAACGATTCCGCAAGACTGCCAGTAGGCCGCGCTTAGGAATGCAAAAGCTCTCCCCCGGCCCCGAGCTACTCGATCCACCCAGAGCGGGAAAAAAGCTCAGCACCAGCGCGACCGGACAACAACTCTGTTTGGACAGAGAGCAAAAATCGGAGCTGACGTGTCGCTCCGATCTCGCGACTCGCCAGCGTAGGCTCGCAAGACGCGCAAAAGTGTCAACATCCCGCCCGCCTCGTCCGTAAGGCGAAACAAGAACCTC